AACCTGAAGATGACCCATGTGAGAATCAATATGGTTCAACATGATGGAATTTTGGGGGGTGGGGGGGTTTCAGTTTGCTTTTTTAAAAAACCTAGGAAATTACTTACAAAAAATACATTTAAATCCTTTTAAGGTTGCAAAGTGAATCACTCAAAAGTTAGGAAATGCCACAGTTAAAGTTGCCGGTGCCACCATAATTTGGCTCCTTTGTGTGTATGCATTATGATACACTCTTTAATTACATGATCAAATACTAGTTTTTTCCCCATAGAATTTCTGACTCATTTAGTGCACAGGATGGCCCATGCTCAGGGAATGAATCAGGGCTGTGTAAAGAAGAACGCTGTTGCCTGTAAAACCCCTCCCTCATTATTGCAGAATCTGGAAGGTGTGAGTGAATGAAGCAGGGGATTGCAGAAAGAGAAAGGACAGTCTTATGGATAAGGCAATTGAATGCCGCTCTGGAGAATTAGATTCTATCCCTGCCTGTGCCGCAGAGTTCCTGTGGGATCCAACGAAAGCAAAAATTTTACAGTTGGCCACTAATTGAGTGTTCTTCATTTTCTGGATGCTTACATTGAAACAGAAGGGGTCTGATTTGCAGAAGTGCTGAGCACTCAGAGCTGCAACTGAAATCAGTGAGAGCTATAGTCCTAACAGTGCTATAAAATGGTAAGTTCTAGAGAAAATCAGGCCATAAGCATCTCAAATTGGTGCCCCAAGTAAGTGGATACTTTTGACAATAATATCTCTGTGCCTCAGTTCCCCATCTGTAAAATGGGAATAACAATATTAGAGGTGTTCTGAAGATAAATTTGTTAATGTTTGTGAAGCACTGATATTATAGTGATGAGCACCATGGAAAAGTCCCTGAGGAAATAATAATTCTGTATTGAGAGCAATGTATGACTGGTGTTCACTAAATAATGCCTAGGCCCACACATTCAATGATGAAGATAATATTAATTTAATGAGTAGCTGCTCATTAAGTGAGCACTGTCCAATGTGTTCACTCAATGAGGCAGTGGAAAAAATAGCATGTGATCATATAATTAAAGACTGTATCATAATGCATACACACAGGGGGCTGAATTAAGATGGCATAGGCCACCTTAATTCTGGCATTTCCTAACTTTTGAATACTTGACTTTGCAACCTTAATGTTCTTTTAACATAGGGTTTTTTTTAATGTAATCATATGTCTATAAGGGGAAATACTTCACAAGCAACTCAAATCACTTTCTTTGATGTCGGCCACAGTGTTAAGTACACTGGGCCTAATTCTGTCTTCTTTGTACCTGTACAACCCCATGGATGCCACTTAGGAATGAAAGAATCACAAATGTGGGCAGAATTTGCCCCTTGATCTTTTTTAGATAGCTAAAACCAGAACCTAGTCTAACCTTAGCTACTGCTTTACCAGGTTGTGATTATCCAGGTTAATGATTACTTAACTTGGCCTCAAGCAAACCCTGCAAATTATCTTCTGCCCTAATGTTACAAAAAAGCATTACTGATATGGCCAGAAAGCAGAATGAAGCTTATATTTTATGATCTCTCTGTCTCAGTCTCTGTCTCCATGCTGTCTTCTCCAAGGTTCAGCTGTCAGAAAAAACAATCAATAACAGAGAGTGTGGGCCAAGTTCAGAGAGAACATCATAGAATCATAGAATATCAGGGTTGGAAGGGACCTCAGGAGGTCATCTAGTCCAACCCCCTGCTCAAAGCAGGACCAATCCCCAACTAAATCATCACAGCCAGGGCTTTGTCAAGCCTGACCTTAAAAACCTCTAAAGAAGAAGATTCCACCACGTCCCTCGGTAACCCATTCCAGTGCTTCACCACCCTCCTAGTGAAAAAGTTTTCCCTAATATTCAACCTAAACGTCCCCCACTGCAACTTGAGACCATTACTCCTTGTTCTGTCATCTGGTACCACTGAGAACAGTCTAGATCCATTCTCTTTGGAACCCCTTTTCAGGTAGTTGAAATCGGCTGTCAAATCCCCCCTTATTCTTATCTTCTGCAGACTAAACAATACCAGTTCCCTCAACCTCTCCTCATAAGTCATGTGCTCCAGCCCCCTAATCATTTTTGTTGCCCTCCGTTGGACTCTTTCCAATTTTTCCACATCCTTCTTGTAGTGTGGGGGCCAAAACTGGACATGGTACTCCAGATGACGCCTCACCAATGTTGAATAGAGGGGAATGATTACGTCCCTCCATCTGCTGGCAATGCCCCTACTTATACAGCCCAAAATGCCGGACTCTGCACTTGTCCTTGTTGAACCTCATCAGATTTCTTTTGGCCCAATCCTCTAATTTGTCTAGGTCCCTCTATATCCTATCGCTACCCTCCAGAATATCTATCACTCCTCCCAGTTTAGTGTCATCTGCAAACTTGCTGAGGGTGCAATCCACGCAATCCTCCAGATCATTAATGAAGATATTGAACAAAACCGGCCCCAAGACCGACCCTTGGGGCGCTCCACTTGATACCGGCTGCCAACTAGACATGGAGCCATTGATCACTACCTGTGGAGCCTGACGATCTAGCCAGCTTTCTATCCACCTTATAGTCCGTTCATCCAACCCATACTTCTTTAACTTGCCGGCAACATCAATGGATGGCTGTGTTACATGTTGCTACCAGTAGGTGGTGTAAGTGAACATACATTAGAGGTGGAAGAGTAAGGCTGTAGTAGGAAAAGCACCCAACAAAAGCCTGTAAGAAGGTGCAAATTAAAGCAGCCTTTACATCCTCCTGCTGGTTCATTTTCCTGTGTCCCTCTCCACCCTTCTATAAATGATACCAGCCCTACACACATTCACCAATATGCAATCCTCACTTAGAACATTTTTGAATTTGGTCTAGAAAATTCTGAAAAGAGTAAATACAGAAACCTGCATCTAAACCCATTCCAGAATAAATGCAGTGCAAAACTATGTTCCGCTTCATAGTTAGAATTAGTGCTTGGTGAAAACTGCCAAATATTTTCCAGGAATATTCAGTTGACTTTTGTAATGAATTCATGACCCTTTGATGTTTGCTTTCTGTGAATATTGTAGCAAATGAGTATGTGCGAAGGCAAATGTATAACATTTGGAGCAACTATAGGAGAATATTGGCACAAAGAAAATTTTGAAATTGTACTTGTAACTGTTCACACTGGAAATATGATTCTTAGTATTACTTCATCTAGTCAGAGAACAGAAATAACACTGCATGACATATGTGTGCAGTCAAAGCAGCAGGAATGTTGAATATCAAATACTTGCCAGTCAAAATGGGTTTATATGGAAAACAGATCCTTTGAAACTAACTTGATATCTCTATTTTTTATAAGATTATATAAGTTTGATTGATAAAGATAATAGGGTTGATGTAATAGATTTCGGTAAGGTGTTGACTTGGTATTGCATGACATTTTGATTAAAACTTGTATGATTTAAAACTAATGTAGTACATATTAAATGAATTAAAAACTGGCTAACAGATAAGTCTCAAAATGTAACTGTAAACAGGTAATCATTACTGAGTGGGTGTGTTTCTAGTAGGGTCCCACAGGGATCAGTTCTTGCTATTCTGTTTGCTATGCTATGCTATATTCTTGCTATGCTATTTCATATTTTTCCTGGAAGAAAACAAAAAATAATGACTGCTAAAGTTTGAAGATGTAAGTACCTACATGGGGAACAAATATTTGATAATTAGCTCTTCAGCCTAACAGAGAAAGATATAACGCAATCCAGTGGCTGGAAGTTGAAGCTAGCAAATTCAGACAGAAAATAAGGTGTAAATTTTACTAGTGGAGCAATTTATCAAGGGTCATGGTAGATTCTCCATCAATAGCAATTTTTACATCAAGATTGGATGTTTGTCTAAAAATACTGTTCTAGCAATTATTTTGGGGAAGTTCTAGGGCCTGTGTTATGCAGGAGGTCAGACTAGATAATCACAGTGGTCCCTTCTGACCTTGCACTATATTAATCTATGAACTATTGTGAATAAGCTACAGACCAAGAATTATTCACAGAAATGATTTGGAGAATAATGACAAAATATGAAATGAGTGTGAGGTGTTTCCTCATAATTCACAAAACAGAAAAAGAAGCAAAATTTGTTTAATAAACTATTTGTTACTAATAGTTTTGCAGGCCTAGTTAAAATAGACCTTTTACAGTGCAAATGAAAATGGAGGTGCTTCAGACTAGAAATAAATGTGCTGTTTACAATTTATTTTTTTCTGAAAATACCCAGGAGAGTGCTCGAGCCCTCTCTGCTATCCTCCTATATTAATTAATTAGGAGTTGCAACCCTTATTGGGACCAGCACTTCAGATAGCCACAATGTGAGCTACCAGGTTGGAAAGGCGGCCAAATGATGACAACCTGTGCTCCAGACATAGAGAAACACATTGGCTATGTAGACAAAATCACTCAACCAAACTTCCAAGAGTAGATATGGCCTGTCTCACTGACAGACATGTTTAACTCTCCACTAAAAGATAGGGACCTGTAATTCTCCACTAGAGCAACTCCAGTAATAGTTGCAATATTGGAGGCAGTAGCGTAAACAGGACTTGGGTGTTTTTGTCACTGTGTCATCTTCTCTGCGAAGATGACACAGTGACATGTGCATGAGGTACACATCTGCATGATAGCAGACAAAAGGGGAACCACACCAGAGGAGAGTTATAGGACTTAAGTTTCCTAGTGCAAAGAAAGCAAAAGTCACCAAGGACAAATATGAAATCAAATTATTTCACAGCAGGAAAAGCAGGAACCATAGTCACCCAGACACAGCCCTCATTCATCTCTCAATCATTTGAAAAAATCAACTTACTTTGGGCTTTAAAAGCAAGCAGAACCAGGTGAGACTCCAGGCTTCAAAGTGGATTACAGACCTACAAAATGGCCACTATTTATTTTCTGGAGTGAATAAACAACTACGAGAGATTAAAGCTTAACCCACCAGCAAACTTTGTACTTTTATGTTTGTCTAAATTTGTTCTGAAAGAAAGTTCCTGCTAAAGACACAGATCATATTTATTACAAACTGATTGCTTGGCAAACAGCCCTGGGAACTGCTGGGTGACAGTGACTGAAGGCAGTGCAGTCATCAATGGAAGGTAAGGAGCCATTGCAGCAGAATGCAGCATACTTGGGACTGGATATTGCAGTGCAAAGATTACTGGACTGCAGCATCCCAGAAGGTAATGCAGAGTAAATAACACTGAAGCGTGTGCAGAGCAGGTCCAAGGCCTGTATGGGGTGTATGGCCTCCCAGGGCACCATGCTTTGGGGCTTCAAGGATTCACATTCTGGGAGCCCTTCCCTGGTAGCATTTGTCTAAGACCAACCCTAGTTAGTTGCTCTGAACACAACCATATTTCAGATCCTATCCCAGAGATGGGAGGAAAAGAGATGGACACTTTGAAACATCTTTGGTGCAAATACCTTTGAACATCACCAGTTCCTGCTGATACCACTTTTCCCCTCCTTTCCTCAAATGGCACGAAAAAGAAACCCCACAGTGAATGCAAGTACAGGACACCATGAATGGGGTGGGGGGAAGAGCTTAGTTTTTCTCTCCCTAGTACCACTCCCCTGTCTCCTCCATTGGGTAAGGTGCGGGCTGTGGGCTACCAGAAACAACAGGCTGCTGTTGTGTTGTGTCAGAGTTATGTAGTTTTTAAATCAGGGGTTCTCAAACTCGGGGTGGGGACCCCTCAGGGGGTCACGAGGTTATTACATGGGGAGTCGCGAGCTGTCAGCCTCCACCCCAAACCCCGCTTTATATCCAGCATATATAATGGTGTTAAATATATAAAAAAGTGTTTTTAATTTAGAAGGGGGGTCACACTCAGAGGCTTGCTATTTGAAAGGGGTCACCAGTACAAAAGTTTGAGAACCACTTGTTTAAATAAATATAATGTAAGTGTTAAATATAGACCCTCTGTACCTCAATAAGAACAGGCCCTCATACTCAGGTCTGTGGGGAAAAACCCCTCTGATAGGCTGTCCTTCCCCATTGCCTCCTGGGAAAATGCTGCTCCACGTGCTGCAGAGCTTCTTCGTCTACCCTCAGCACATGGAGCAAGCAGAGGTCCCTTCTACCCCCTCACTTGTCTAAGGGGTCAAGAGCGCTCCCCAAGCTCTCGGCCCTCCTGCGTCCCAGCTGGCTTTGCAGCTTTGTCTCTCTGGCTGCTAGTGCTGCCCCCTCCCCGGCCTTCCCCTACCCCTCATGCCTAGGGAGAGGTGAGAGAATCCTGCACGCTCTAGTACTGCCAAGCCCAAGAGTTCAAAAAGCGTGAATCAGGCTCTGAAAATTCATGATTTTGGCTTTAAAATGATGAGATTTTAAAAAATAACAAATGTTGGATTATTTGTATCTGTCTTCTAGTTTGGGAGCCTTTTCGGTTCACATTTTCAAGCTTTTCTCTGCAAGTGTAAGAGCTGGAGACTTATTTTTTTAAATGAAAGGTGAGATTCTCATAAGAATGGCCCTACTGGGTCAGACTAGTGGTCCGTTTAGTTCAGTATCTTGTCTCTGACAGTGGCCACTACTAGGGCTACAGGAGGAATGTACAGAACAGTGCAGTTGGTGTGATCTACCTTGTGTTCCCCTCCTGGCTTCTGGCAATCAGAGGCTCAGGGATGCCTGGAGCATGGGGTTGCATCCCTGATCATTGTGGCTAATAGCCATTGATGGACCTGTCCTCCATGAACGTATCTAGTTCTTTTTTGAACCCAGTTTTGGTCTTTACAATAGCCCCTGGCAATGAGTTCCACAGATTAATTGTGTGTTGTATGGAAAAGTACTTCTTGTTTTTTATTAAACTTGATACCTATTAATTTCATTTGGTGACCCTTGGTTTTTGTATTGTGGGAAAGGGAAATAATACTTCTCTATTCACTTTCTCTACACCATTCATGATTTTATAAACCTCTATCATATCCACCCTTAATCATCTCTTTTCTAAACTGAACAGCCCTCATCTTTTTAATCTCTTCTTATATGAAAACCGTTCCATAGCCTTGATCATCTTTATTACCCTTCTCTGAACCTTTTCCGGTTCCACTATCCTTTTTGAGATGCGACAACCAGAACTGGACTAAAATGTTGGTGCACCATGCCTTTATATAGTGGCATTATGATATTTTCTGTCTTATTTTCTATCCCTTTCCTAATAGTTCCTAACATTCTGTTAGCCTTTTTGACCACTGCTGAGCAATGAGTTGAAGTTTTCAAAGATCTATCCATGGTGTCTCCAAGATCTCTTTCTTGAGTGGTGTAGCGAGGCGGTGGGATACCCCACAGCCCCGCTGAGGGCCGAACCTCCCCTAAAACCAACGTGGGCGGAGCCACTGGGTCCAGCACCTGCCCCTCAGAGGTCACAGCGCCGACCCGGAAGTATAAAAGCCCACCTGCAGAGCTCAGTGGAGAACAAGCCGGCGGAGAGAGCAGACGGCTGTGGCCGAGCTCCCGCTTGGGAGACAGCCGCAGGCTGCGACCGGCCTGCTGACTTACCAGGCCTGTCGAGCCTACCTCTCACCCGGTACCCTGAGGAGGACTGGCCAAGCCTGCCCCGTTCCAGCTATCCCGAGGAGGAGCTGAGCGTACCCTTTGCTACCTACCCGGAGGAACCGATGCTGGTGGAGAGCACCGAGGACACTAGTGCGGCCCAGGTACCCTATGAGGGGGAGTGTGGAAGTAGCCCGGGGGCAGCCGACCGCAGTCTGGCTGCAGCACTGCCAGAGCCGATGTCAGTGTGTTGCGGCCAGGATCCCCACTGACGGCAGCAAGTTTCCGCCACTGCTAGGGCCCCGGGCTGGGACGCAGTGGAGTGGGAGGGCCTGCGTCCCCCCTGCCACCCATTCCTTGGGTGGCAGACTCCCCCTTCCTCCTGGCCTAGAGAGGCTGGGACCTCTTGCTCATTGACTCAGCCCCTGTTTAAGGGCCTGGGTTTCTGACTCACTGTTTGATTGCAGCCCAGGCCCTTAAGCAGGGGCTGAGTCAATGTTTGTAAAAAGAACAGGAGTACTTGTGGCACCTTAGAGACTAACAAATTTATTAGAGCATAAGCTTTCGTGGACTACAGCCCACTTCTTCGGATGCATATAGAGTGAAACATATATTGAGGAGATATACCGGTATATACACACACATACAATCTCCTCAATATATGTTTCACTCTATATGCATCCGAAGAAGTGGCCTGTAGTCCACGAAAGCTTATGCTCTAATAAATTTGTTAGTCTCTAAGGTGCCATAAGTACTCCTGTTCTTTTTGCGGATACAGACTAACACGGCTGCTACTCTGAAATCTGTCAATGTTTGTAGCAGTCCAGGCCCTAGGTCAGGGTGGGGCAGCAATCAAACAGTCAGTCAGAAACCCAGGCCCTTAAGCAGGGGCTGAGTCAATGTTTGTAGCAGCCCAAGCCCTAGGTCAGGGCGGGGCAGCAATCAAACAGTCAGTCAGAAACCCAGGCCCTTAAGCAGGGGCTGAGTCAATGAGCAAGAGGTCCCAGCCTTTCCAGGCCAGGGAAAAGGAGAGTCTGGCAGAGGGGACGCAGGCCCTCCCACTCCACTGCGTCCCAGCCTGGGGCTCTAGCAGCTGCGGAAACTCGCTGCTGTCAGTGGGGATCCTGGCCGCAACACACTGACATCGGCTCTGGCAGTGCTGCAGCCAGACTGGGGTCGGCTGCCCCCGGGCTACTTCCACACTCCCCCTCATAGGGTACCTGGGCCGTACTAGTGTCCTCGGTGCTCTCCACCAGCATCGGTTCCTCCGGGTAGGTAGCAAAGGGTACGCTCGGCTCCTCCTCGGGATTGCAGGAAAGGGGCAGACTTGGCCAGTCCTCCTCAGGATACCGGGCGAGGGGTAGGCTCGACAGGCCTGGTGACTCAACAGGCCGGTCGTGGCCTGCTGCTGTCTCCCAAGCGGGAGCTCGGCCACAGCCGTCTGCTCTCTCCGCCGGCTTGTTCTCCACTGAGCTCTGCAGGCAGGCTTTTATACTTCCGGGTCGGCGCCGTGACCTCTGAGGGGCGGGCGCCGGACCCACTGCCTCCGCCTACGTTGGTGTTAGGGGAGGTTCGGCCCTCAGTGGGGCTGTGGGGTATCCCGCCACCTCGCTACAAGTGTTAACAGCTAATTTAGATCCCATCATTTTATATGTATAGTTGGAATTATTTTTTCCAATGTGCATTATTTTGCATTTAACAAAGTTGAATTTCATCTGCTATTTTGTTGCCCAGTCATTCAGTTTTATGAGATCCCCTGTAACTCTTTGCAATCAGCTTTGAACTTAACTGTCTTGAACACTTATGTATCATCTGCACACTTTGCCACGTCAGCGTTCACTCCCTTTCCAGATCATTAATGAATATGTTGAACAGCATAGGTCTCAGTACAGATCCTTGGGGGATACCGCTGTTTACCTCTCTCCACTGTGAAAACTGACAGTTTATTACTACCCTTTGTTTTTTATCTTTTAACCAGTTACTGAACCATGAGAGGACCTTCCCTCTTAGCCCAGGACTGCTTAATTTCCTTAATAGCTTTTGGTGAGGAACCCTGTTAAAAGCTTTCTAAAATCCAAGTATTGTACACTGTATTGACTGGATCATCCTTATCCACGTGCCTGTTGACACTCTTGAAGAATTCTAATAGATTGGTAAGGCATGATTTACCTTTACAAAAGCCATGTTGGCCCTTCCCCAACAAATCATGTTTATGTATGTGTCTGATAATTGTGTTCTTTATGATAGTTTCTATCAATTTGTCTGGTACTCAAGTTAGGTTTACCAGCCTGTAATTTCCAGGATTAACTCAGGAGCCCTTCTGAAAATTGGTGTTACACTAGGTAACTTCCAGTCATCTGGGTCATAGTAAGTTTCAGTATAGGTTACATACCACAGTTAGAAGTTCTTCAGCTTCATATTTGAGTTCCTTCAGGACTCTTGAGTGAATACCAGCTAGGTCTGGTCACCGATTACTGGTTAATTTGTCCTAAAACATCTTCTACTGACACATCAGTGTGGGACAATGCTTTTGCTTTGTCAGCCAAAAAGCAGAGCTCCGATTTGGGTATCTCCACCACTTCCTCTGCAGTGAAGACCAATGTA